CATGTTAGTGAAGGAATTGGCTAGTTGGCCCTTTCCCTTTCAGAATCATCTTACTATTCTATGCCACCTGCTCCCCCTGCCGATTGTGTCATTTTTTGTGCATAAAGAAATGCCCTCTCCAGACTTGGTGTTAGAGACCTGCAATCCATATAACCACACCATCATTCTTGGAGAGGGAGCTATAGTGGAAACTGGGCTTCAAATGATGCCCAAGTTTCTGTATTCTTACGGAGCCGACTTCTGCCAGTTATGGGTGTCTTCTATGACATCAGGCTAGCTTTTCTCTAAAGGGGCCTAGAGATGTAAATGCATTGATTCAGTACAACCAAATAAAGTAATACATTAATTTTGTGTTTGTCATTCATTCGTGTGTGTGTGTAGTAATTTGTCATAATACTAAATATTTTTCCAACCGCATCAGGGACTCTGGAACAATTTTCATGGTGGGGGTGCTGTGATCTATGGGGTGGTCGTATTTTGTAATCTCCCTTTCTTTTATAGCTTCACTAGCTTCCTGGCTTCTTACTACATAAAGTTCAAGCTCCATGTCTCTGCCCTCTGCACCTGGTATAAACTTACTTATATCTCAGTTCTTATTTCCTCCTGTTGACCTTTGTTTTCCATCTTCTCATTTCTTGTTTCTGTTCCTGCATTTAAAACAGTTCCCTAGATCTTCTTCATCAAGCTCCTGCATGATCATTCTTCAAAATCCTCCTTAAAAACATCTCGATTAAATCTTTCCTATCTTGTTTTCCTCACATGTACAGTTGACACATGCTTCTTTGCCCAACAATTGCCCCATTCCTTGCCTTATATCTCTCAAAGATTTCCAGGTCAGGAACCCCAGCACTATGGGGGGGGGGGGCGAGGGGGTTCAAGTTCCACCTATATTTTATAGTGAAATGTAAATGATGTGTGATAATAAAAAGGGGTGAGGAGAGGTTAGTCTCCTTTTCTTTCAGCCCTTGGATGCGTATCTGAGACTTAATAATAGTACCAAGTAATGCCAATTATGGTGAGTTGTGATCTGAACACTGTCCTGGAGGAAATAGCTGAAGAGCAATGACTCATTTCATAAAGTTCATCCAAGTGAACATCAGCTGGAAACACCTTTCAGTCACTGTTGATCCGGTTCAGACTCAAACTAGTGACCTAATGGTGAATGGTTTCATATTTTACTACTGGTTTTCCATGAGCATCTTGTTTACAACAGAATGCTTTGTTCCTCTTACACCTGGAGATATTTTTGGTCCTCCTGGAAATATCTTTGATCCTCCTGAGTTTTGCACACTCAGCAAAATAGCGTTTGCACCAAATATCTTCAAAAGTAATAAAGCAACATTTATGTCTAACTGTACTTTTCCTCTTAATGGTGGCTGCAAAAATGACATTGCAGGATTCCCATGTTTCAGTGACTCTAATGGCAATTTATTTCAATTTGCAATTCAGAATATTCCTTTTTTTTTTTTTTTTTTTTTTGGTCAGTACTGCAAACTCACAATGGGATCAGAAAACTCATCTGTGTCCTTTATGCAGCTTAAATCAACTCTGCTGCTAAGGATTCTGTGTTCCAAACTCATTTGTCCATTCTACTGATGCTGTAGAAGGTAGAGAGGATTTAGTTTATTCTCCCACAGCTGTATTGATTGTACAGTGCTAACAGTAATAAAAATTTGCCTATCACTAAAAATAATTCTTTAGGAGTAGAAAAATGTTGAATATGCCCTTTTATACATGATTTGATTTCTGATCTTAACCCCACCAGTCATTAAAATGTGAGTAAATTAAAAGGCAAAACACATATTGTATCTTAATTCAAGTGAGTGAATTAGTTATAATTAGGACTGGCATCTGTGTTTTTCCAAATGTATTTAAGCAGTGTTGAATTAATTAGATTGACCTGCAATTTTCTGATCTGAAGATGAAGTATCTAGCACCTGTCCAAGCATTAATCTTCTCTTTATCCACTGAACAGATAGGGCAAGCTTCCCCACTCAATCGCCTTCCTCCTAGAAGGACCATTTCTATAGGTTCTTCAGTCCTCATGCCTCTTCAGCTCTTCAAACCAATATTATCAAATAGGAGGCTTAACTATAGCCAGTTGTGGTGGTGGATATTCTTTCTGTCTGTCTTTGGTTACCTATCTGGCTCCCTTTCGATAGTAGCGTGGCACCTTAAAGTACTTATTTTCCCAACATCCATGTGAGGTCAGGAAGTAATATTAGCCGAACACCCAAGATCAAACAGGGAGTCTGTGCTGGAGCAAGAAAGACATTACTGACCTAGGTCAGATTTGATTTACCTACCTAGGTTTTGTGACCTGTCCCATTATGGAATCATAGAATATTAGAACTAGAAAAGACCTTGAGAGATCATAAAGTCTAGTCCCCTGTATTCATGGCAGAACCAAGCACCAATGAGATCAGGCGTTGGCAGTAAAAAAAGTGATGGTCCTCTGGGGTTAGTCTCTGGTGGGCTACTGCTATGTTTACCTGTGCCTCTGCAGGCACTGGGCAATCACAGTTTTCATTTGCTGCAGATCACTGTGGGAATCTGTGTTCTGGTTAGTGCCGCTTCCTGCCACTCCCATTGTCTGCAAATGGTGATCAGTGGCCAATGAGAGCTGTGATTGCCTGATAGCTACAGAGGTGCAGGTAAATATAGAGGTTGGCAGCCCACGAGGGACTAATCCTGGTGGATCAGATCTGGCCCATGGGCTGGTATTACCCACTCCTGATCTACATTATCCCTTAGAAATGTTTATCTAACCTCCTCTTTATATCTCCAATGATGGAGATTCCATAACCTCCGTTGTCTTTTTATTCCTGTGCTTAACCAGCATGGTAGTTAGGAAGTTTTTTTCTAATGGCCAACCTAAGCCTCTCTTGCTATAATTTAAGCCCATTGACTCTTGTCCTATTATCAGAGGTTAAGGAGAACAATTTTTCTCTCTCCTCGTAACTCCCTTTTATGTACTTGGAAGCCATTATGATATCCCTCTGTCTTTTCTTTTCCAAATTAAACAAACCCATTTTTTCAGTCTTCCCTCCTAGGTAATGTTTTCTAGACCTTTAATTATTTTATTGTTTTTCCCTGGACCTTCTCCAATTTCTCCACATCTTTCCTGAAATGTGTTGCCCAGAACTAAACTCAATACTCCAGTTGAGGCCAAATCAGCATAGAGTAGAGAGGAAGAATTATTTCTCATGGCTGGCTTATAATACTCCTATTAATGCATGCAGAATTATTTTGTGTTTTGTTTTTTTGCACACATCAGTATTATACTGTTGACTTGTATTTAACTTGTGGTCCACTGTTACCCCTAGATCTCTAGTCACTTCCCATTTTTGTGTGTGAAACTGATTTGTCCCTTCCTAAGTGGAATACTTAGCATTTGTTCTAATTGAATTTCTTCATTTCTCTAGTTTGTCCAGCTCATTTTGAATTATAACCTTATTCCCTAAAACACTTGCAACCCCTCCCAACTTGGTATCATCCTCAAATTTTATCAGCTTACTCTTTATGCCGTATACTCTGTATGGTTGATGAAGATATTGAACAGAACCGGTCCCAAAACTGATCTCGGCAGAACCCCATTTGTTTGGTCCTTCCACCATGATTGAACCATTGATAACTACTCTCTGAAAATGGTTACCCAATATGCACCCACCTTTTAGTAGCCCAATATATGATGTATTTCCCCAGTTTATCTATAAGAAGGTCATACAAGACTATATCAAATGCTTTACTACAGCCTAGGTAAACCACATCTACTGCTTCCCCCTTATCCACAAGCCTTGTTATCCATTCATCTACTATATATTTGAGAGAGTTTGCCTGTCTGTACTTCTGTCTGTCCATTCAAGAACTCTTCCTAAACAGTAAGAGTTAGGACCACCAAATTCAGTATACAGCTTCCACAAATCATAACTTAAAGTAAGGCAAGAGTTTGATTGTTGCAGGAAAATTAGATATGCGTAGAATGGGATTGCTTCTTATAAAACTATATGGAAAAAAGACAAAATCACCAGGTAGATGAAAGGGGCTGGCTGAAGGCACATCCCCTCTCCTACCTGGGACTGCCCTAGCCCCAAGCCTCCCACCCGCTAGATTCCCTTTTGGGGAGGGTGGAGCTAGAGAGATTGCAAATCTCCATCCCCAATTTGTACAGGAATGCATAAAAGCATATAGAAAAGAGATCAGGCAAGAGAAAGGGACTGGCTGGTGGTGCCCTTCTTTCCCCCTCCTCCCATGCCCTAACCCTCCCTTTAGGGATGGTGATGGGAGCTGAAGCTTTTCCCTCCTCCCCCCGATTCATATAGTAGCATTGCTGGCTATTCCCCGAAGGGAAAAATGCAGTTTGCTGCACCCCTCATTCTGTCTGGAGAGGGCAGAGGGCAGATGAACCTGGACCTGCCCCAGCTGGGGGACATGCATCATTCCCCTGTCTGTGCCTGTTGGAGCGTCAGGAGTCATGAAGAGGCACTTCTCACCTAGCCCCCAGCTGCTGCACTGGGAGTTTTTAGGTGGTCCTCTCTCTCCAGGGCAGCCTGCTTGCCTGCCTAACCCCTCATTCCCAGCCCCACCATTTTATTTTCCAAAAACCAAAAAATGTATTGAGTTTAGGACCTGAGTCATAGAATCCAAGCCCAGAAAAGATCATTCTGATGATTGTCTGGCTTCCTGGGTAACATGGATCATAAAACTTCCCCAAAATAATTCCCTGAGCATACTGTGTTTTAAAATTGTCAGTGATGGTGAATCCACCACAACCCTTGGTAAGTTGTTCCAGTGAATGATTATTTTTGTTATTAAAAACGTCTTCTCTAGTTTGAATGTCTAGCTGTTGGATTGTGTTACACGCTTTTCTGATATACTAACCCTTTATCTAATATTTGTTACGTATGTATATTTTTATTCCCAGAGGCATTGATTTTAATGTTTCTGATATAAATGTGAAACTGATGCTGTATTATATCTATGTATATTGTCATTTGCAGAAAGTTCATTCATGGAATGGTGCTGCTTGGAATGGCATTGTACAGTGAGCCTCCAACAACAATGATAGCACCGGGCATTTATGACACTAGTCTGCCAGTGCTAGTAACACTGCAGGTAAGCACTGCTTTTTGAGACAGGAAAGCCAGGGCTTGTTGTCAAACAGCTTGCAGTAAACGATTGATTACACAGTGCTTTCTGATCCCACAGTTTAAATGTCACATCTCCTTTCTGTCTGCTTGAAAAGAGACTTCTGCTTGTATGCTATTGGCCTTTTTAATTGGAGTGAGAGTAAAGCTTACTACATAACAGAAATTATACTTTGGACTTGCTAAATCATATTCAAACCATGGGGGTTAGGCAATGAGTAGATTACTTTTTCCTGTATGTTCAAAAAACACAAAGTGCTGACCTGGCACCTGACTCTCAGCTGCATTTTTGTCCCGCTTGTATCCTGTCTGCCTGTGAATTACTTACCATCATCCACATCGTAGGCAACTAACAATTAAATGAGTCTGCAGAAGTGTCTGTAGGGAAGGAGCTACAACGTGTATCTGTATTTATTTCACTTTTAGTCCACAACTAAATGCCAGGCTCCCACTGATGTCACTGTGAACTCTGTCGACCAATGCCTCCAAATACCGAAAAGACATTTTGCCTGTCCACAGTTTTGAATTGTTCCCAGATTGAGCTGCTCATTTTAAAGGAACAGACAGTAGAATTTCATATTAAAAAAACAAATGATTTTATTAGCAAATGAAACACAAAGGTAACTAATGTGAATAAATGAGTTTAGCCTAAAATGCCCTACTTTTTAATAAGTAAATGAACAAGAGTTTTTAGTTGGAATAATGCAGCCAAAGATGACTCTTCAAAATAGCTTTCTCTATATTAATAATAAAAGGAAGGAAAATCTGTATCTATGCTATAAGAAAAAAGCAGAGAGGAATCTCCCGCTCTGTTCATCTGCCTCTCTATACTTAATTATGTCTGTGAATATATGACATCAGGAGATTGAGCACACAGGAAAAGCTACATTTTAAAAACAGCACTTTTAATGTTACTGGTGTGTGCTATAATTCCTAGGACTACTGTTATCTGGGAGCCAGTTTGTTGGTGTGGTTTTTGGTTAACTGTGTGAAAGTGGGTACACATATACATATTCGTTAGAGAGACTCCTTTTCTGGTCCTGCTGTGTATATCTCTTAATACATTATGGTGTAAATTTTACATTAGGCAAATTGAACTGGATTCAAAAACTGAATTTTATCTATTCCACCATTAAAAAAACAAAACCCTTTTGAGCTTCCTCTCCCCATTTTAATACATTATTTAATTAAACTTAACAGGCCAATCAGAAACAAGGAAGTACCAGAAACAGACTGCTGTACTGAATGTTCCAGCCTACTCTTGCAAAACCAAGATAGATACCAAAGCTTGGGAATGCTGTTGATTCAAATTGAATAGAACCCCCTTCCCCTCCCAAAAAAAACCCCTTTTAAAAAAATTTTTCCCCGTAACTTGATAAAGATAAAAATAAGCTTGTGCTGACCATTGTCATCTTCCATCTATGTGAAGACCTCCAAATTTTGAAGAAATTAATATTATCCAGACCTGAACTTTGCAGCTTGGTCCACGTCTCTTACAAGCCAAATTGAAATGCAGACTCGGAAACCATCCTCCCCCGTGTTGTCCTAGAAAAATGCTAATCTAGATTGAAATTTTGTACTGCAGGCCCATCTCTAGTTACAAACAGGACAGGAGAAGCCTTTAATCTGGAGTCCCATGAAGACCTAATGAGACTCATATACAATGGTTGAAATTCTGGCCGCATGAATTTCAAAAGCAAAACTCTCATTGACTCTGAGTGGGACCAGGATTATCACCCTAAAGCATTGAGCAAAATTCATTCATATAATGGGCATACTTCTGCAGTTATCTTATCTCGCTTTCCCCTTATTTTTCACATTTCCTCTGCATATTTAGGATGCCATTCACTAACAGTCATGTGCAGATATCTGAAAAACCTTTTATACACATTTCCACATAAGGCATTTTTTTTTTTTAAGATTGACTTTCCAGAAACTAATTTGGAGTTTTTTAAACCTGAGCCAGAAGAGACAAGAGAAGACCTTGTAGAGCCAGCTAAAGAATGCCTGAAGTATATTTCAAGACTCTCACGGAAACATTCTCTGTTGCTGTAAGTGGACCAAAGTCTTCCTTCTTACCTCTGGTATGCTGTACACAATGCCATGAATCACTCTTCAGTGTTCTCAATTCTTTAAAAGCTAAATGTCCTCTCTGTGTAGCCTAATTTCATTCATTTGGTTAGGTAATATGTCTAGATGAGAGGAAAAGATGGCAATGAAGCTAAAACAAGCCCCTCAAGCTGACAATACCATTCTATAGATTAGAACACTTTGTCCCTATTCTTTTTTTTTTTTTTTTTTTTTCAGGTTTCCTTGTCACTAAAAGCAAACTGCTGATTTCAAGCACAAACATTTGTCTCAAGCTTTATACTTTCCAATAGTAATAGTATTAGCAATTTAAAAAATTGGGCTGGATGAAAACCAGCAGCAGTCGATAATAATGATAAACCCATACTCTTTGAGCCATTGTACTCACCAAATGACATATAAGCATTAGAGAGGCAATCTGTATCATGTTCCTCAGTAAACAAGGAAACGATTATGCAGAATTTAGCTTTCACAGCAGGCATATAAAAACTAAAACAAAACAAGCTCTATTATCTACTGAGTCAGATTAGTAACCCTAGACATATGTAGGTTATATTATCAAGTATCATCATGTACTGTCTAAAATAACAATTATAGCAAGAACTGCAGTGTTAGTGATATCAATGCTTGCAGGCTGGCATTGTACAAGTCACTAACATTTGTTCAGTAATCCTTCACCACAGGCTAAAAATGTTATAGTAATAGAATAAATAATGTAAGTTTCTTTTTTAAATGTCCCAATAATGCTCTATTGTGCACATGCAAAGAAGGAGGTTTTCTCTGTTAATTATATTTTTTGGGGGTGGAGAAGGTACTTTTTAAGAGAGAAATTTCTATTGGCACCAATCAACTGCTAGCATATTTAATGTTATCTCCTCTTATTTCTAATGAAATGGGGTGTGATTTAAGTTTCTTTGTCTTCCGCCACTGATGGCTGTTCAGTGGGATTGGGGCTGGTCAGTAACTGGATGAGAGTCTCTTAAAGAAAACATAGTTGCTGTGAGAAGTTGCCTTGGTGATTCAGGAGGCAATTATTATTTCTGAGTTAGTAGAAAAACAAAGCTACATTGTGTTCAGGGGTGTCAGCTTCTGGAAGGGTCATTCATTTGATAAGTTTTACAAATGAGATCATGAAAACTTGGGATGGGATCAGAAGGATCATTTGAAATGGCCCATATCTCGTTGTCTTTCACGAAGGATCATTTGAAATGGCCCATATCTCCCTCTTTTTCAGATACACCATACACATCATGTAGCTTCATTTGCATTTCTTAAAAAAACCTGTACTAAAATTTTTAAAGCTGTTAGCTGGGTTTTTTGTGTTCCATTAAGAAATCCCTTTCATCAGCCCAACAGTCCTTGGATGCTATCATAGAATCCTAGGGCTGGAAGAGTCCTCAGAAGGTCGAGTCCAACGCCCTCCCAATGCAGGACCAACCCCAACTAAATCATCCCAGCTGGGGCTTTGTCAAGATGGGCCTTAAAAACTTCTAGGGATGGAGATTCCACCACCTCCCTACATAACACATTCCAGTGCTTCACCACTCTCCTAGTGAAATAGTTTTTACTCATATCCAACCTAGACCTCCCCCATAGCAATTTGAGACCATTGTTCCTCATTCTGCCCTCTGTCACTACTGAGAACAGCCTCTCTCCATCCTCTTTGGAACCTCTCTTCAGGCAGTTGAAGGCTGCTATCAAATCCCCTCTCATTTTACTCTTCTGTAGACTAAATAAGCCCAAATCCCTCAGCCTCTTCTTGTAAATCATGTGCTCCAGCCCCCAAATCATTTTGGTTGCCCTCCGCTGGACTATCTCCCAATGTATCCACATCCTTTCTGTAATGGTGGTCCCAGAATTGGATGCAATACTCCAGGTGTGGCCTTACCAGTGTGGAATAAAGGGGAATAATCACTTCTCCAGATCTACTGGTAATGTTCCTCCTAATGCAACCTAATGCCTTCTTGGCTACAGGAGCACACTGTTGACTCATCCAGCTTCTCATCCACTGTAATCTCCACGTCCTTTTCTGCCAAACTGCTATTTAGCCAGTCAGTTCCCAGCCTATATCAGTTTTTGGGATTCTTCCGTCCCGTGTTCAGGACTCTGCACTTGTCCTTGTAAAACTTCACCAGATTTCTTTTGGCCTAATCCTCCAATTTGTGTAGGTCACTCTGGCCCTGATCCCTACCTTCCAATGTATCTACCACTCCCTCTAGCTTAGTGGCATCTGTGAACTTGCTGAGGGTGCAATTTATCCCCCCATCCAGGTAATTAATAAAGATGTTGAACAAAACTGGCCCCAGTACCAATCCTTGAGGCACTCCACTTGAAACCGAGCACCAGCCAGACATCGAGCCATTGATCACTACCCATTGAACTCCACAATCTAGCCATCTTTCTATCCACCTTACAGTCCATTTCTCCAATCCATACTTGCTTAACTTGCTGGCAAGAATACTGTGGGAGACCATATCAAAAGTCTTGCTAAAGTCAAGATATATCACATCCACAGACTTCCCCATGTCCAGAGCCTGTTACCTTGTCATAGAGGGCAATCAAGTGAGATATGTGCAAAGTACTATTGTCACCCAGGCTAAACATTTTTTTAAGTTATAAACTTTTATTACTATAGATAAATCTAAAACTTTTACCCCGATCAAATCTTTAAAGACAGCCATTAAACAAGACAGTAACCCTGCAAAACAAGATTGGAAAGAGAAGACTGCCCTGTCACTTAAAGAGGAATGGTTGATATATAAGATAACATTGGTCTTTTATCTAGCCATTTTTAAGCTTTAGCTGATTTAATCTGAACAGGCTGTCAGGTTCAGGAGATGAGGTTGGGAAACTAGAAAAATCTCTAAAGTCATCATGCAATGTGTTAATTGTACTGTCTCACTGAATGCTGTCCGAGTGTAAAGGAGCATATGACAGACCATCAAAAAGTTAAAGCTTTATCTATATACAGTAAAACTCCAATTGTCTGGCATCCAGTGATCCGGCACTCCTGATAGTCTGGCACCAACTGGAACCTGGAACTGCTCCAGCCAGCCGGACAATTGGAGCTGCCCAGAGGCAGCGGCGGAGAGGTGGTGAGAGGGAGGCGGGGTACAGCATGGCATGGCGAGGGGCAAACCCTCCGCTGTGTTGCGGGGAGGCAGTGGAAGCCCCGCGCAGCCAGCTTGCAAACTGCAGCAGTGGAGAGGGGGAGAGAGGCAGACAGCA